CGGTCACAGGTTCGGCGGCCTCGTGCTCAGCCCCATGGGCTCCCAGTACGTGTCCCCCGCTGACAGGTAGGCGCGAGGAGCCAGGAGGGCGGGGTGCCTGCCTGGACCCTTATCTTAATAAGCCCCCGACTCTGGCGCATCACTCCTTTCAGGGCTCACCTATTGATACCTATCTGTCTAGTTTGCCCCAATTGCCCAGCGTAGAGCCCAGAATGTAGTAGGTCTCAAATAAACGTGAAGAAATGAGCCTGTTCTAGTTCCCAGCTGCCCCAAAGCTTGGCTTATAAAGGGCCCCTGGAGGTAGTTCGGGGCAGGGGATGGCGTTATTGTATCCCTAGCGAGGCCAGTCTCCAGGGACATACCTGTTCTAGGGCCATCGCCAACGTGGTGCTGGCCCCCAGAACCCTATGCTGCTCCTGGCAGACAGCTGGTGGCACAGTCGGGCGTGGCTGTCATCGACTGCTCCTGGGCCAGACTGGAGGAGACGCCCTTTGGGAAGATGCGGGGCAGTCACTTTCGGCTGCTGCCTCACCTGGTGGCTGCCAACCCTGTGAACTATGGCCGGCCCTGCAAACTGTCCTGTGTGGAGGCTTTTGCGGCTACCTTCTGCATCCTGGGTGAGTGTCGGGGCCTGGCAGCCTGGCTATGCTCCCAGCTGTGTGTTTTCGACTGGCAAGTCCCAGGAGAAACCGTGAGGGTGTGGGCAGAGGTGGTTGAGATGGAAAGGTCAGGGTTTCTATCCCAGTTCCCACTTAAAAGTTTTCCCCCTGTGGGGTTGAGGTGGCAACATGAATAGCTGGCCTGCCAGCACTCAGATTTGCCTGTTATCTTGGCACCACTGCCCTGAGAGTCCTCTAGCACCCTTCAACTCATCCTCAGGGAATTTATGGTCCCAATAGAGGCCCAGATGGGCAGGGGGATTGAGTGGGCTGCAGAGGCAGGCATGGGCTGTCTGGGCTTAGGATAGTGTCTGGCAGGCACTTTTAGCTCCTGGGACAGCATTGGGTACGCTGGGGACACACTCAGGATTGGAAAGGGACTGTTGACATTCCTGGGTTTCCTGTTTCTGCGGCATCAGGCTTTTCAGACCTTGCTGTCATTTTGCTGCGGAAGTTCAAGTGGGGCAAGGCCTTCCTAGACCTGAACCGTCAGCTCTTGGACAAGTATGCAGCCTGCTGTGGCCCAGAGGAGGTGCTGCAGGCAGAGCAGGAGTTCCTGGCCCATGCTAAGGAGCGCCCTGAGGAGGAGATCGGTGAGGCCTGGCATGGATGTGAGCCCCCCCCCCCCCCAGTTGGGAGCCAGGACCCTCCATGCCTGCCACCTCTTTGAGAAGCTCTAGGGGTGGAAGGCTGGGTTCTGCTCAAAGCTCACCTGTCACTGTCCTCTTTGCTCCCTCTGTTCAGATCCCTTTGATGTGGAATCAGGTCGAGAGTTTGCAAATCCCAACAGGCCCGTGGCTGGCACCCGGTAGGTCCTTAGGCTTCCCACTTTCGTGACCCAGGCTCAGACCCAGGCTGTCCTCAGCCTCTGGCCTCAGCCCTTCCTGCTCTGCAGAAACCGGGTGGGAGGGTTGGCTGTGGAGATGGGGGGTATGGACGTCCCACTGAGAGGCTCTGGATTCAAGAACACGGGGAGTAAGAGGAATTTGTACTCGGCCTGAGGGCTCTTGTGGGTCAGGTGGTGCCTTTAGTGAAACAACTACTTCCAGGTTGCCCAGGGACAGTGATGACAGTGACAGTGAGGAGGAGTCTGAGGCACTTGGGCAGCAGCAGCAGCCCAGAAGAGGAGGAGACGCGGGAGCAGGGGTCAGAGGCCAGGGCCCCTGCCGAGGTTTGGAAAGGAATCAAGAAACGGCAGAGAGACTGAAGGTTCCAGATGTGTATTTTTCAAGGCAGAGTGATGAGGAAACCTAGCGACAGCAGCAGAACTGGTGGGAACGACGACAGGCCTGGCAGTCCTGGCTCATCGCATCTACGAGCAGCACTGGGCTCTGTCAGGTTCTCTCCCAAAGCTTCTATCATAGCCTTGCTCTGGGTCCTGCCTCAGAGTCCCTAATGAAGCTGCAGGGACACTTCGTGAGCCTCTGTTTCTTTGCACTTGGCCTCAGCGCTTGGGGGAACTCTCAGCCTCTGGTGAGGCAGACCCTGGCTGGAAAGGTCTGGACAGTGGGGGTGGCGGGCCACGGAGGAGGTCTTGTGTGGGCGCGAACATGTATGCGATAGGAGAAGCCAGCGTGGAGCTCCTTACACTGACCCACCAGCCTCATAGAGTGACTCAAGGGACCCCCTCCTGGGCTGAGGATCCAGGTGAGGGACTGGAGACCTGTGATATTCTTAGCAAACCTCCACATGCCCTTCGTGTGTGGAGGGCTCTGGAGCCCAGAGAGGGTGAGAACACTGTGGCTGTCACTTTTCCTCCACCTGGTGCCCTGGGAGCTGCTTCACTCCAAGGTTTGGGTTGTTCAGACTCAAACCCTGGCCTTCCTGCCTCTCAGCCTAGTGAGCGCCCTCCCCCAACCCCAACTTCTAAGACAACTCGGCTGCAACACTGGTGACATTGGGGAGGGACTGTTCTTAGTTGGGGAGAGTATTGTCTGGTTTATTGGAAGATATTAAGCAGCATCCCTGAACTTTGTCCACTGGTACCAGAAGCATCCCCTTCAACCTCCAGGTGTGACAAATAAAATGTCTCCAAACATGACCTAAAGTCCCCTGGGGGGCAAAGCCCCTTCCCACTGGGAATCGAGTGCCTGGGGGCAATGGAACCCTCAGGAGGCAGGTGGGGAAGCTCACCTGGTGGACGGGGTAGCTGCTGGCCCGGCCCCGCCAAGTTGGCCGCCCAGATACAGGGTTAGGGGGGTCCTTGCTGGGTGCAGGGAGTTCATAGCACATACCACATGGACACGCCAGGGCAGACAGGAACTGGGGGACCCAGCTATAGCACGAACGCCACATAGCAGGGGAGGGGGCACCACAGCCCTGACTACACTAAGCTGGTCACAGGGTGAGATGACACTGTGGGGACTTGGGGGGGTTCTGGGGCTCACAGCCGCAGGGGTCTCATGGGTCCGCCTCCATGAATTTCTCCAGCTCCCGGAGTCTCTTGACAAACTCCTGTGCCTCCCGGTTGGTGCGGCCCTCCAGCATCCTCAGTGCAGACCTCACTGCAGGCAGGAGGGCCGGGGCAGCATCAGGCCCTGCCAGCCCTTAGACCCTCTGCCCGCTGGTTCCCCACTTACCCTGGGCTCTGGGCCGGCGCAGGTGCAGGGTGATGGGCTGCCCAGTCCTCGTGCTTCCCCCCACCTGGGGCCGCACGATGCCGCCAATGCTGCCCAAGCCAAGAGCTGCCTCCCCTGCAAAGTCGTTGGTGGACAGCCAGTCGTGATCCATGACCGTAAAGAGCACACAGGCACCACGGCGGCGGCACACCTCTGCTGGCACGGAGCTGCAGGCAGGCAGAGGGCAGTCACCTAGCGCCCTGCTGCCTGCTTGGCCGGGTGTTGGGCAGGTGGGGGCAACACTCACAAGTAGAAGAGTTCATCATACACCGGGTGCAGTGTCCGGCTCTTGACCTGGGTCCTCTGGCTGTGGACCAGCGGGAAAAAGTGCGGCGGGCCCAGCTCCACAATCACAAAGGGGTCACTCAGACCTGGGGGGCAGGGCTGTGAGCAGACTGCCACCATCCCACTGGCCTGTCCCCACCTAGCCATGCCTCTGCCCCTTACCGTTAGCATCCAGGGGGAGCAGGTCAGCAGCGTGCAGTACTTCCACCACCAGCCGCTGCTCAGCTGCCTCATAGTAGCAACGGACACTCAGGCGCCCACACCGGTTATGCTCTAGTGACCTCTGCAAGAAGGCCGGTGGGCCTGTGAGCTCAGCATGGGCTCGGGTGAGGCCATGTGCCCACTCCTGGACCACGTACCTGCTTGAGTTTGTCCAGGTAATACTGCTCAATGCACTCGCGGGTGGAGCACTTGTGCAGGCGCAGCTCCTCCTCCAGCCTCTGCAGGGAGAGGAGGGAAGAAGGTGGATGCTAACTCCTCCCTGAAGGCAGGGCAGTGCAGGGCAGTGGCCCAGGTGAGGCCTCACCTTGTAGCTTCCGTCCCTCAGGTTCTCCAGGGGCAGACCCTGTCCATCTGCGTGGAAGAAAGTGACCAGGGCCTAGGACGGGGCAAGAAAGGAGAGATGTCAGATTGTGGCGTGTGCTGGGGGCAGTGGACCAGAACAGGTGGAGCCTTGAGTTTGCATAGCACCAGGGTTCTGGGAGCCCAGGGCAGAGCCACCTGTCACACCGGGGGCATATCAAAAGCCCCCAGGAGCTTGGGGGAGTGCTGGTGCCTGAGGCCAGACACTGCCTTAACAGGTAGCGCAGGTGCTACTGACCCAGGTGGGCTGGCAGGGAGAAATGCCCTGGTGGGTGCTTTGAGGAAGAGCTGTCCAGACTTGGCAAGCGCCAATGCATCTTGGCCTGGGGCAGCGGGGCCCAGGGGAGGGGCAGCAGCCTTCCCCGCCCCCCCCCCCCTGCAGCCCAGCAGAGGGTGGCACCTCCACAAGGTCCTACCTCCAAGGTGAAGTGGAAGCGGCTGTAGAAGTCGGCAGAGACGTCAAGGTTGGTGCCCAGCGCCTGCAGAATGGCCTGCAAAAGCAGCTCCCAGAGGGCCTCCAGCACCCTGCAGGGACACAGCATCTGTGACTGGACCCTGGCCCGCCCTGCTCCACCCGGCCCAGTTCATACCTGTTCAGGTTCTCCTTCTCCAGCAAGGCGTTCAGCAGGGCCAGCTTCTCATCTAGGTATTTCATGAGTGGGGCCACAGCCTGCGGGGAGGGTCCTCAGGGCCAGACTGCACCTGGGCCCCACCACACACGCTCCCCACCAGGCTGAGCCCTCAGCCGGCCGAGCACTCACCTCATCGTTCTGGATGGAGTCAGGTGAGAGGCTGATGTGCTGCACGTACTTCCTGATGTCACCCACCATCTGAGGGAGAGCAGGGCTCAGCGCTGAGGGGAGTGGGGGTAGAGGGGAGCCAGGTCCCTACCCCGCCTTCCTTGCCCACCTTGGAGGTCAGGTGCGCCGTCACAGTGCAGGCCTCCCGCTGCAGGTCCTCGTCCAGGGCCTGTGTGCAGTTGAGCAGAGCGCGCGGGAGCCCTCCTGTGAGCCCCGCGGCCCCCTCTGGCCATGCCAGGCCTCGGAGTGCCTGGCCAGCCGCCCGGCGCAGGAGCTCCACATTGTTGAGGACCACGCAGAGCTGGAGAGATGTGCCAGATTGTGTGTGATGGGGGGGAGGGGTTAGTGTTCCTGTGGTCATATGGTGGCCCCACCCACCTCCTACCCCCATCCACCTGCCTGCCAGCCCACTCACCGGCTCACTCACTGCCTCGCCTGAGGCCCTGGGCTGAGTGTCCACCTTCTTCCGCAGCAGCTCAGTGTAGAAGAGGGCAGCCTCACACAGGTCCTGGGAGGACACAGGGGCTCGAGAGCTGTGGGCCACATCTGGCCCTGCGGACCCCGACCTATTCTTGGGCTGTAGTTCCCACCTGGCTAAGCTGGGTGCCCAGCCCCTGGGCCTGGACAGGGTCTGGCCATGCTAAGCAGGTCCACAGCTCCTGGATGTGGCTGAAGCAGAGACTTGCAGTGGCCACCGAGCTGCTGTGCTTGGAGTTCTCCATAGGCTCCAGCTGGAAAGGCAGAAGGCAGCCTGGGTTTTGGGGGGCCCTGGATGGATCCCAGTACCCTAGAGCCAGGTGCTCACTCACTGTGTCCACATCAACAGCTCCCTGCAGCCTCCATTTGGCCTGGTCCCGCAGCACCTGCAGCCAAAGCTTCACGGCAGGGAGGAATGGGGCGTGGATGCCGACCAGGGCCAGGGAGCGGCTGTCCCTGCAGCAGGAGGCCAGCAGTCAAAGCACGCCCACCTCAGCACCCTGAGCCAGCATGGCCTAGGGGCCCTGGGCTAAGGCGCACCCAGGAGAGCCTCCCGCACAGGGCCCTTGGGCTCCTGCTCCAGAGCCCGCCTAGAGGAAACTAGAGAATACGGGAGGGGGAAGTGAGGGAGGGAGTAGGTGGTGGAGGGGAAAAGGGAGGGGTGAGGGGGACAGGACACCCACCGGCCCAGGATGCTGCTCCAAAAGCGCTGGATGTCTGCCAGGGACAGGTAGAGCTCGAAGAGCCGGGACGCCACCTCGAGGGTCATTTTGGAGCTCAAGTCCTCTGTCAGTACCCACACCTCCTCAGCTACCTGCCCGGAAAGGTGGAGTCAAGCTGCCAGCAGCAAGGAAACCCAGGCCCCTTCCCGGCCAGAAAGGCTCTCCCCACCCCCCTGCCTCACCAGACGCTCCAGCTGCCGGAAGGTGAGGGTGAAGAAGTCGATCTTGATGATGCTGCAAAGGACACATCTCAGACCCCTGCTCGCCCCTGGCCCCAGTGGCAGCACTTGAGGGGCTGGGCGCAGGGGCGGCAGGAAGAGCCCGGGGGCCACCTGTGGAAGAGGCTGGCGTAGATGCTGTAGCAGGACTGCAGGTCCTCATAGACAGCGTCAACCAGCTCCACCAGCCCAGCAAGTCGCTGCGGTCCCGGCTGCAAGGAAGCAGGGTTCCCACTGTGTTCACACTACGTTCACACTACGTTCACACTGCGTTCCCACTGTGTTCACACTGCGCCCCCTGCCACACTCCCCTTCCCCTGCCCCCACGGCCATACCCTCTTTGAGCTGTACCTGCTCGCGAGGACTCTTGGCGTTCAGGAGCCTGTCGTACCATTCCCGGTTTCCTCTCTGCATGGCGGCAGTAGGGGGAGGGGAAAGAAGGGCAGAGGCCCTGGGTTACAGCAGGTCCAGGGCCAGAGGGTGGGGCACTGGCAGCGAGAGGTGCAGGGCAGGGTCGGGGCGGGGCAGGTAGCCCTGACCAGGCTACCAGACGCACTTTCAGGGCAGCAGTGATGTCCGTGTTTAGCTCCGTCTCGAAGGGGCAGACTTCAAAGGAAGGCTGGAAGAGCTGCAGCTTGTCCAGACACCTGGCGGAGGAGCCACAGCTGACGGGCGGCTGCCCGGCCTGGCCCCCTGCCCCTCCTGTGCTAGCAGCTGCACCCACCTCAGCAGCAGCTCCAGGCGATGTATGGCGGTGCTGTTGGTGGCAGGGAAGTAGTCCCGCAGCTGGCGCAGCAGCCGCAGCGCGAACTCGGAGAAGGCAGAGAAGCTGTCGGCCAGGCTCTCCTCCTGGGGGCACAGGGCCCTTTAGAACTGATCCCTCGGGTCCTCCCCCGGGGCGGGGCCAGCGAGTCAGCAAAACTTTGCCCGGAGGAGCAGCCTCCAGCCCCACCGACCTCTCGCTGCTGCCCTCTCCAACCTCAGCCTCCACAGCTTCCCCTGGGGCCTAGCGGCACCGACGGCCTCGCGTTTGCACCACCCGCTGTTCCCTCTGCTCTGTCTCTGCAGCGCCTAGAACTCCCTCTGTTGTTCCCGCTGATAGGCATGACCCCCCTCCAACACACCCCCGTCTCAGTATTGCACACCACCTGCTCTTCCCCAAATCAACTCCCTCGCGGGACATGAGCCCCTCACTGCGGGCCCCAGCCCGAGCAGGCCCTCAGCACGCCCTCCAAGAACATTTTCAGGCCGCACGGCCAAGCCCACCTGCTCCTGGGGCAGTGAGGCCGCCTCTTCCCAGTGCGCCTGCATGTCCTCCAGCAGCCCCAGCAGGTAGCCGTAGTCCAGGGTGCAGGTCTGATGGTGGCGGCTGCTGACCTGCCAGTGCCTACGGGGGCCCCCAGCCCAGAGCCAGGGCAGCGGTGTCGGGCAGGACCCTACGTCTAAGAGACCTCCGAGCGCCCCGCCCACTCACGGGAATGGCCTTCTCATGCC